ATTGAGGGCCAGTTCACACCACAAAGACTTCAGAGCGTTCGGCCTCTGGAATGCAAACCGGCCACCCCCCTGCGTTCAGGGGCCCGATGGTGCATTAAAGTCAATGACACCTCAGCTATGCCCGCACACGAACGCGTGGCACATTAGTGCCTGCGTTCCGGTCCAGTACGATCTGCAAAAATGCTTCATGCAGTAATGTGCCTCATGTGGTGTGCACCGGCCCTGAGGCAGGAGGAATGCTAATTAGCGAAGCCTCAATCTCATTGCACAGCAGGTGCCATTATTGGGGTTATTTTTTTTCAAATGGTATTCTTTTGGTTTTGCCGGTTAAAGCTTGGCGTATATAATGTATATTTTTTTCAAAAAGAAAACTAGAAAAAGTGTTTGTAAATAAAAGGTAAACATGATCACAGTCCTGTTGTGTGTTTAATTGTTAGGGGTCCTTTCAGTGCTGATGTAAATTATTACCAGCTTATGCTGTTGTACTTAAAGCGGACCTTTTACACCCAAAAATCAAATTCTACCAATGCACCCCTCTATGTATGATGATGAATAATGACATAGATGTGTCAGGTGTAAAATGCTGTGATTGTGAAATACTTCCACTCGCAGAACACTCACTTCCTGCTTTGAAAGGGAAAATGACTTCAGTTTGCCAAAGCGATGCACACTGCGATTGCCTTGTCATCGGCAGAGCATTGCTGAAGAGGCATTTCTCATCTGTAATCTCAGGAGATCTCCGGGAAAGACATTTTCCTCCCCTGAGATGATGTGCATGGTCACATGTCTAGTCACATGTGGTAGTAATCCAAGAAGTAAAAGGAGATCTTGTCATCTGCCCTTAATAAATATGGCCACTGCCAGAATACCGGGGAAGAGAAATAAGGTATACAAAGAATACAAAGCCGGCAATTCTCTAAAAGTACACTATATTGCCAAAAGTATTGGGCCCCTCCCCCTCCAAATCATTGGATTCAGATGTTCTGTGACATTTCCTTGCTACTAAATATTCCGCGGTCACCTGTTAGCGGTATTATAACAAAGTGGAAGCAACTGGGAACAACTGCAACTCAGCCATGAAGTGGTAGGCCATGTAAAATGACAGGGCGGGGTCAGCGCATGCTGAAGCGCACAGTGCGCAGAAGTCGCCAACTGTCTGCAGAGTCAATAGCTACAGACCTCCAAACTTCGTGTGGCCTTCAGATTGGCACAACAACAGTGCGTAGAGAGCTTCATGGAATGGGTCTCCATGACCGAGAAGCTGCATCCAAGCCTTACATCACCAAGTGCAATGCAAAGCGTGGGATGCCGTGGTGTAAAGCGCGCCGCCACTGGACTCTAGAGTAGGGCTGCAACAACTAATCGATTATAATCTATTATTGAAAAAGTTGTCAACTTTTTCAATAATCGATTAATCGGCTTCCGATCAGTTGGCCCTGTTCACGGCTCCACACACGCTGCGCGCCGCACCTCCTCCCCAACTCACGCTCACCGCTGCCAGACCCGCCCGC